ATATATATATATATATAATTTATATAATATATATAATTTATTTAACATTAAAAATAGTTATATTTTTATTAATTTTATAATCATAATTTTTTTTAAGGTTATAATTTTAAATATAACCGATTAGTTTTCAAATAATCGATCATATTGGATAATTTTTTCAAATAATTAATTATAATCGATTAGTTTTCTAAATAATTGATTAATTTTTCAAATAATAGATTATAATTGATTAATTTCTCAAATATATATTAAAAAATTATAAATAAAAATATAAATTATTTAAGAATATTAATTATTGTAAACATAAAGTAGAACATGGGAGGAGAGGAGGATGATAATATAATGATGGAATTGACAAAAATACGAGAATTGAGAAGTTAAAAAAAGAAAAATTGAAGAAAATAGAGATTTAATTATACTTTTAATAAATTTAAGATAATACTAGTTTTGATTTTTATTTTTAAATATTTATTTTAATTTTTTAAAACAGAGAAACTATACTTTTAGTTTCTAAATACTAAATTTAAAGAATTAAATTTATTATTATTTAATCTTTTAATTTTTGTATTAAAAATTTAAATTATATTTTATTAAATTAAAATAATTACAATATATTTTTCTACTTTGAGAATGAAAAATATAATTAAACTAAAACTGAAAATATTATAATACATTTTTGAACTCTTTTTAAATGATTTTTTTTCCTAATTTTTTATAAAGTCAATTTTAATATTTAAAAGTATTTAACATTTTGCTTTCTGAAACATTTTCTGTATTACCAAATTTAAAAACATAATATTCAAAAAAATAATTAATGTAAGTTTTGATGATGATCGATTAAATTTTCAAATGATTGATCATATTTCAACCTATATAATAGGGTTCCACGTTAACCGCTATCTAAACTATATTTTGTTTTAAGAAGCGGTTCGAGTGGAACCGCTATCATATACAACCATTATGATCGATTAAATTTTCAAATAACTGATCATATTGGATAATTTTTTCAAATAATTAATTATAATCGATTAGTTTTCTAAATAATTGATTAGAATTGATTAGTTTTTCAAATAATTGATTATAATTGATTAATTTCTCAAATATATATTAAAAACTTATAAATAAAAATATAAATTATTTAAGAATATTAATTATTGTAAAAATAAAGTAGAAAAATGATGTTATATTTTAAAAAGGTTTAAAAAAGTAGATTGGAAATAAATCTATAAAATTTTAAAAATGATGTTATATTTTTAAAAACAAATATTAGAAAAAGGTTTAAAAACATGTATAAATTATATTTATATGTCCAAAATATTAAAGATATCTACATTTAAAAAAATACTAAAAAATATTAAAAGTTATACTTTAAATTAATGAAAATATTTAAAAAAAGTTATATTTATTAAAGTATTAAAAAATATTTTGTAATATATAAGTTAAAAAAATTATCATTAAATTTTTTAAAAATTATTAGTTTTGTAATTTATATACAATGAAAATAATATAATGGTATATTAGTATATAAATATATAAATATATAAATATATATAAATATATAAATATATATAAATATATAAATATATAAATATGTAAATATATAAATATATCAATATATAAATATATAAATATATCAATATATCAATATATCAATATTTAAATATATATTAAAATATATAAATATATATGTATTTATAGATTTTATAAATATATAAAGATATATATATATATATATATATATATATATATATATATATATATATATATAAAGATGTAAATATATAAAGATATAAAGATATAAATATATGTAAAGATATAAAGATATAAATATATGTAAAGATATAAAGATATAAAATATAAAGATATAAATATATATCTTTAATATTTTGTACATGCAAATATAATATATATATATTTTTAAATCTTTTTCTAATATTTATTTTTAAAATATAATATTATTTTTAAAATTTAATATTTAAATTTTTATTTTTTTTCAAATATATAAAGATATAAATGTATAAGGATATAAATAAATATATAAATATATCAATATATATATATATATATTAAAATATAAATATATAAATATATTAATATATAAATATATTAATATATAAATATATCATTATATAAATATATATATATATATATATATATATATATATATATATATCAATATATCTATATTATCCCCTCATATATTATTATACATTATTAGCGTAATTTTAGTTTAATTAAAAATTAGAATACAAATATATTATATTATATTAATATACCATTATGTTATAATATTTGTAATTTATTTTTATAGTGTATAAATTATAAAACTAATAATTTGTATACTATACTATACTAATATATAATTTGTATACTATACTAATATTATAATATACTATATTATAATATTATTTGTATACAAAACTAATATCTTTATATATAAATATATAAATATGGAAAGATATAAATATATGTAAAAATATAAAGATATAAATATATAAAGATATATAAAAATATAAAGATATAAATATATCAATATATCAATATATAAATGTATCAATGTATTAATATTTAAATATATAAATATATTTTTATTTATAGATTTTATATTTATACGAATATACATTTATATGTATATAAATATAATTTATTTGTAAGTTATTATTAAAAAATCCTAATAGCTCAGTAGTTGGAGATTCGACCTCCAACTCTAAGGTACCGGGTTAGAATCCTGACAATAAATCTAATAAAGAGTTAGGGAAAATAAATATAAATAAAAACTTGGGAAAATAAATATAAATAAAAACTTAAATAAGCAAAAATATAATATAAAAAGAGGTAGGGAAAATAAATAATAAATATAATTAAAAATGTAAATAAATAAAAATAATTAATTTTGTTATTGATTTAGCGATCGATTTAAATCGATCGCTATTTTTTTTAACTTTGTTATTGATTTAGCGACCGATTTAAATCGGTCGCTATTTTTTTAACTTTGTCATTGATTTAGCGACCGATTTAAATCGGTCGCTATTTTTTTAACTTTGTCACCGATTTAGCGACCGATTTAAATCGGTCGCTATTTTTTAACTTTGTCACTCGATTTAGCGACCAATTTGATATATTAATTTCGGTCGCTATTTTGCGACCGAAATAAAATCGGTCGCTAACACATTAACAACTTGGCTTTTTGCGACGACGCATTTCGGTCGCTAACTGATTAGCGACCGATTTTTTGCCATTAGCGACCGATTTTTTCGATCGGTAAAATGCTTTTTTCTTGTAGTGTCATTCCCAAAGGCATTATTTATAACGATTCGACCCTACGAGAAATCCTTTCACAACTAATGTCATCAGAACTCATCGAATACCATCCTTTCCTGTTCGAAACCAACTTTCTAAGCACCTTCGATTTTCATTTCTGGTGGGATTAAGGTTCTCCTCAAAACATCTACCTTTTGCTCTTTTAAAATCTTGAATAACCATTCATCCTGACTTTCCTCCACAAGACAAAACAAAGACTTCAAAAGGTAAATATGAGCACTACCTTCAAATTACTGAATTTAAAAATTATTATCAAAAGTGTTATGATCCTCTTCGACTAGAATCCACCTTTAAAAATATAGTACATTATTTGAGAAACAAAGTTTGACAGAATAGAGAAAATAGGAAAACTATAAATCCACTAGGTAGAACTCTTTTCGAGAGATTTTGTCCCATTAATTTACCAACTTTCTCTTATGCTTCTTTCGGTGTTGTTAAACCTTTAACACATCCAAAATGAGTTCGTGAACTTAGATCTCCTCATGAATTATTACACCAAAATCCATTTAATAAAGTCGTTACTATATCCAAATTGTCCTATTATCGTTTCCTTTGCCTACTGGATTCAACTTTACCCCATTGGCTTACCCACATAGACCATGTCACTATTTTAAACAATATTCCCTATGATGAGAAGTCTTTTTTTTTTTTTTTTTTTCGAATTTATCATTTCTTTCATTTATTTCTCTTATGTTTATTTGTAATATTCTTATTACAGTCTCTTCCTCCATCCAAATTATCCAATCCACACAAGAAACTTCTGAACTCATCACAAAAAATTCAGAGAAAGAGGAAAACAAAAGGCCTCACACCTCAAAGCAGCTTTAAGAATATTCAGGAGTGTGGTTGAGCATTTATTAAGTTGTTGATTTTTTGCATGAGAAAATAGTTTGTTCTGCCTATAAATATACATTCTTCAAATGCTTATAATTACTCTCATCTTTTTTTTTTTTAGTATTCTCTACTTGTTGCATGACTATTCTCATCTTCTTCATATTTTTAGTACTTTATTTGCTCTTCTTTTTTCTTTGTTGCAACAATATTATCAAAAATATTTAGTGAAGTATGTTGTTCCAATACTGCAACAACTTATATCTTCCAATCCTATTTTCGCCCTGTAAAAAATTTCAATTTTTCGTGTTGTTCCAATCCTCTTTTTCATTCATTCAACAAGCACATGCTACCAAACATCTTTTAACCAAAAAAAAAAAAAAACAAAATCATGTTACCAAACACTTAAAAAAAAAAATCAGAATCGTATTTGAAACGATTTTAGTCAAAAATTAACTTCAAACACGATTTCATTTTCAAAATCATCCATCTAACACGATTTAACTCATTTAATTTTTTTTACCCAGAATGAGATAAAAATCCCATAATATATAAACAATAAAAATAAATAACAATTAAATAATAGCTTTTATCAATATTATAATAATAATAATAATAATAATAAATAAATAAATAAGTATCTACATTTCCATTTTGCTCTCGACCCTACCCAAGATAATAATTTCCCTTTCTTCAATTAAAAAGTTCCATTAAGTGAAGGTGTGTGGGTAAGAGATGGTGAAACTGATGAAGCCAGTTTGAGTCGTCCTGTGTATTAAATGGTAGTGTGAAGCTATTGGGACCCCTTCATCACAAGCCCCACCAAAATCCACTTACATGTTACTACAATGGCCTCCACCGCCCGGGACGAATCCTCCGACAACGACAGCACCTGCTCCTCGGGAACCGTGCTCGACTCCTCCCGCAGCTGGCTCAGCACCTTTAGCTTTCGCCGCGCCAGCCGCGGCACCAGCCGCAGCTCCCTCTCCCTCTCCGAGACTACCACCGGGGCTGCATGTGAGGCGATGCGCCGGCTCCACCTCCACAACACTGTTGGCCTCGATCACTTCCGCCTTCTGCGGCGGCTCGGAAGCGGCGACATCGGGAACGTGTACCTCTGCCAGATACGGAATCCGGTGGTGGGGTTGCCGCAGTGCCTCTACGCCATGAAGGTGGTGGACAGAGAGGCGCTGGCCATACGAAAGAAGCTGGAGCGGGCGGAGATGGAGAAGGAGATTCTAGCCATGATGGATCACCCCTTCTTGCCTACCCTATACGCTGCGTTTGATGCCTCTCATTACTCTTGCTTCGTCATGGACTTTTGCCCCGGCGGAGACTTATTCTCCGCTCGCCAACGCAACCCTGGGAAACGCTTTACCATCTCATCCGCTAAGTATGATATTGTTCTACCATTTTTCTGTTTTATATTTCATTTTTTGAAACGGTTTTTAGTCATAATACCTCACATTTTTCTATATCTATCAGGTTTTATGCAGCCGAGACCCTCGTGGCATTAGAGTATCTCCACATGAAGGGTGTAGTGTACAGGGATTTGAAGCCGGAAAATGTGCTGGTGAGGGAGGACGGGCACATTATGCTTTCGGATTTTGATCTGTGTCTCAAATGCGACGTCGTTCCAAAGCTGTTGAGAAGCAAAACCAGATCGGAAGGCAGCGTCAAGACTCGAACATCTTCTTGTGCTGCCCCTGTGCAATCCTGTTTCTCCTCCTCAAGCAAGAGAAAGAAGGTAACAACAGTTATAAGGGAGAATGTGGAAGTGTGTGAACTTGACACAGAGGTAGTGGCAGAGCCCATCAATGCAAGGTCCAAGTCATTTGTGGGAACCCATGAGTACTTGGCACCTGAAGTGATTTCTGGTCAAGGACATGGCAGTGCAGTGGATTGGTGGACTTTTGGAGTTTTCTTGTATGAAATGTTATATGGGAGAACACCCTTCAAAGGTGAGAACAATGAGAAAACACTCACAAACATTCTGAAGCAGCCCTTGGCTTTCCCTAGAATTGCAGTGAGTAGCAGCAAGGAGTTTGAAGAGATGGTGAGGGTTCAAGACCTCATCAGTAAGCTCTTGTTGAAGAACCCAAAGAAGAGAATTGGGTGCTGCATGGGCTCAGTTGAGATCAAGAGGCATGAGTTCTTCAAGGGAGTGAATTGGGCTCTAATTAGATCAGTTAGGCCACCGGAGGTCCCTACTGATATGAAAAAGATTAGGAGTAGAGTTTTGTTACAGAAACTCAGCACGAAAGAGAAGGATCAACCCTTTCAGATTACTCATCATTTTGACTACTTCTGACTGTTAAATGTAAATATATTAAGAAAAAACAGGTTTGCCCAAATACATCATCATAACAGAAATTAAGGCTTCTTTGATTCTTTCTCGCATGTTTTTTACTCACTCTACCAAGGAGAGAGAATTACTACAAGTTTATATCTGACCAATTAAGGTACCTACCACTCGTTGAACTTCGCAGTTTTCGTTTTTATTACTATATTTAACACAATAATTACAATTATGTTGTTAATTCTCCACCAATAAACTATTATAGTTGAGAGGATTTTCTAGGTGTAAAGGAAAGGGATATCATAATTGTCCTAATGTGATTCTTATGAGAGCTTATATGAATTCATGTGACCCTAATAATTACGCTTTTCATCGATGAAGTCCATTTTATATGTTAAATTAAATTTGAATTTATTTTTTACAACTAATATTATACTCATGATCGACTTATATTAACACAAAAAAAATATTAATTATAATATAAATAAATAAAAACACACAATAATACATATTTGAAATATATTTTTTTAAAATTATTAAAATTAATGTTTACATAAATTAAATTAAATTTAGAAATAAAATCTGTCTCTTATAAATTTTCATTTTAATGTGTATATAAACTAATTCTATCTTACAAAAAAAAATGTTTTATTTTATTTATGGAAAAATTAATCTAAACATGTGAAAGTGCTAGAAGAATACAAATATCATGGAAAATACAGTTAATCCTTTATCATTAATATGGTTTGGTTATGAGAGCTGTTCTTAACTATATATTGCTTCCTTTAGGATAAAAAAATGGAAGAGTTTGATTTTTGATATTCAAAAAGTAAAAATATGAGTCCTTAAATGTTTAACCAAATCTATTGGATTTAATAAAATAATATACTTATAATATAATAAATTTATTAATAATAATATTTAAAAAATAAATAAATCATAAAATATAATAAAAATTATAAATATAGAATATATTAAAAAATATAAGATAAATAATTATTAAAATAAGATAAAATATAATAAAATAACTATTATTTAAAATTCACTTATTTAAGATAAAAAAAAAACTAAAATATATAATCAATTTTATTGATTTTATTTTAATTTAACATGGTTGGATATGATTTTCAACACAACTTACCTACAACAACGTTTTCCTCCATAATTTCTTAGCCCATTTTCCTCTCATTGGAAAAAACAAAAAACTTTTGATGTGGCCTTGAGTGACCCATAAAGGAGAGGTTTTTAATTTAGACCTTAAATCTCTACACTCAAATGTGTTACTTTTGTCATATTGAAATAAAAGGAAAATAGCATAAATACCATTTGGTTTCTTATATTCTCATCAGAGAAGATAGTACTGCATTAATGAACAGGCATCAGCTTTTATCATAACTTTCATACAGCCTTTTAACACTATATGAGCTGTAAAATGCTGAAAGCACTCTGTTAAAAAAAAAAGCTCAAGTACTCAAATTAGCTTTTTTCTTTTTTTCTTTTTGGAGTTCTTGAGATGGTGGAAGTATATAGGGCAGTTATTTTGAAGATGACTGAGATTATTTTTTAACCATTAATATGATTGAGAATCATGTTTAATTCAGTGTGAGAGTTTTTTGTCTCAATGATGAAGAAAAACTTTTGGGCTTTTGCTTGAACATGTATCAAACTCTTCCTTTATGCATGTCCATCATTGATGTCAACCATAATTTTTTGTGTTGCAAGTGACAATGAACTCATGACAATAGGTCATTTTCAAGGAAAAAATTTGAAGTTATATATATATAATTCAAGAATATTTGTTTAATATAAATGAGAAGGTGGAATAATATATAAATAAAAGAGATTTATAAAACAAATAACCTTGCTGTTAGTGTTAAGTGGTAAAAAAAGAGCATAAGCCAAATTTCCAGTAAAGAGAGTTGACAATGTGATTTTGAGTGAGTGCGTGAGGTATCCATAATGCATATGATGCATTATGGACACACATACACACCCTCATCAAATTCTCAAAAATCATTGCAGCATAGAATAAACATATTAAAGTCCTAAATTTCATCCAAATAAGTAATAAGAGTGAAATTTATATTATTTTCTTAATTTTTCTATTTCTCTTTTCATTCTATTCAACATTATTTTCAAAGAATTCAAATGTTCATCATGAAGTGAATTTGAGTTGTAAGTTAATTCAAACCAACTCAACATCCCTTTTTTTTTGGAGTAATTATAATTAATAACACCATTTCTTGATTAATTCTATAATAATGTTTTTCTAAAATATTTAGAGTAAAATGCATTTTAATTTCATACTCTTTTAATTTAACTCCATAGCTTGCATGGACTGTCCATTTTATAGCAAAATCCATATTAAATTTATAGTGTAATCTGTAGATAAAAAGAAACTCTTGGTTAAAGAAAGCTTTTAACTTTATAATTAAGTTATATGTAATATTAAACTCTATTTGTTATGTCAATGAACTAGACTTATTCTATTAAAAAACAAAACAAAACAAAACTTCTTCAAATCGAAGACACAAAAGTTCATTCCTAACGCAGTTGGAGTCTGGTTAATCAACTGAACAAGGGAATCCTAGAGACCAAATTTGCTGCACTCTCTTGAACAGTTCATATTCTGAATATTTACACCATGTTCTTGGGCAAATTCTTAAGTATAGTTTCACAATAATTTCTTTTGAGGTGTTTGAGAAATAATTAAATTATTCAAATGCTGGTTTTGAGTTAAATGTGATGCCTTTCTCCTTAGTAAATCTTCTTGAAATATCTACAAGTGATATAAGGGTTGATGGTTTGTGTAGTTTTGAGTTAATGTGTATCTTTCTCCCTAGTAAATTCTCTCGAAAGATCCATCAGTAGTATTAGAAGTTGATGGTTTATGTGATTTTGAGTTAAAGGTGGTGTCTCTTTCCCTAGTAAATTTCCTCGAAAAACAATATTAATGTGATATAAGCTTAACTCACATAAGGAATTGACACTACCTTATTACCTTCAACAAAAAATCTTAAGAAATTAAGTTATGAGTCTTTCTTTTTTATATGTTGTTCAACTTTCTTATTCTTATTCAATGTGGGACTTAAACTTACAGTTGGATTTCCCAATAATGCTTATTACTATGCCTGGTTCTTATAAAAGCAAATTAATGAGAAAATGTTTTGAAACATTTGTTAATAATATGAAATCTTTAATTATACGAGTAAAGTTGTGGATTTTAACCGAAACAATTTTATTGTTAAGGTATTTTGAGCTTTAACCAGGGTTTGTGAACACATTTTATGTTAAACCAATAATTATAACTTGGTGTACAATTGTTTGTTTATGTTATATTAAGTTAGAGTATTTTATTTTATACTTAAAAAATAACTTTGTGTATAGTTGATTACTTATGATATTATGATTTGTAGCAATTATGGTATTCACTAGTGCAGAATGGGCTTTTTACATCAGTTATTTTGGATTTTTTACGTCACATATAAGACTGACATTAACACAGGAGACGTAAATTTATGTCGGTCCTTTTGACCGACGTAAATTTTCATCGGTTATCGAGACCTGACGTTAATCTACGTTGCATATATCACTAAATAGACGTAAAAGACTTCAAAAATTTTAAAAATTCGACGAAATTTACGTCACACATACACATATGCGACGTAAATTTATGTCGCACATAATATTGGATTTATTTTGTCTTACAACCAAAACCTTGAAACATATATCATAATATAATACAAACAATAACCTACAAACTAAAAGTTATTACAAACTAAAAGTTATTACAAACTAAAAGTTATTACAAACTAAACTACCTAAACTACATAATACACACAATATAATACCAACAATAACCTACAAACTAAGTACTAGAATTGTTGAACGAAAAACCTTGTCCATTGTTCTCTAATTTGTGTGATATCATGTTCTGATAATGGAGATGAATCTTGAAATACCTGAAATGTTAATTTGACTCTTGTAAATATGCAACACATATAAAGTTAAATAAACTTAACTAATGTTGAAAATAATTACCTCCGTCCAAGAATAAGTTATACCCGTACAAACTATGAATCTCATTCAATACATGACATAATAACCACATTCAAATACCTGGAATATCAATTTTGCTCCTGTTAACATGCAGTACACACAAAAGTAAATAAACTTAACAAATATTGAAAGTAATCACTACAAGAAATTTTAATATTATTACTCAAACTACTAAACTACCATAATCTTTTGATAATAATTTACAAATAAATTATATTTATATATTTATATATTTATATTTTATATATATTTATATATATATATATATATATATATATTTATATATATATATATTTATATATAATTAAATATTTTTATATATTTGTATATTTGTATATATTTATATAATTAAATATTTATTTTTTAAATTATTTAATTTAAGAAATTATTATAAATTAATCTAATTATGATTAAATTAAATTATTAAATAAAAAATATTTAATTTTTTAATTAAGTGAATATTTACTAATTGTTAATTTATCGACGGAAATATCTGTCGGTAATTTACGAGATGAATTTACCGATGGATGTATCCGTTGGTAATTAACTGTTAATTTATCGACGGATATATCCGTCGGTAAATTCATTTGTAAATTACCGACGGATTTATCTACGGATATATCCGTTGGTAACTAATTATTATTTTACCGACGGATATATCCATCGGTAAGATCAAATTCTACAAATATTTTATATCCGTCAGTAATTTTCGTCAGTAATAATTATTTTCAGACGGTTACAAATCCGTCGGTAAATATCCGTCGATATACTGCGATTTTTTTGTAGTGAATTACCTCTGTCGAAGAATTATATATACTTGCACAAACTTTTGTGTATTACATGTGCTTAGGAGCATATTTTGGAAAAACTGTTAGGATAAATCTTATTTGGGATTTGCGCCGTCTTCTTTGCCTTTTTCTCTTCGTTTTGATATGCTGTGCATCCAAATCTGA